ACACTTTTGCAAGTTGCATCATTTATATGTTAAAAGGGTCTATTTCAAAATTTTATCTCAGGGTTTATCAAATGTTTGAGCCGGTCCTGTCCGTTATTTATAGTCCCCAGTAATCTAGTGACGTCTTCTTGAAACAACACTCTCTCCCTTTTCTTCCATTGTTCCCTTCTCTGTATTCTGTTATCGAACTTCACAGATTCTCGGTGTAACAATCCCACGAGAATTTTTATCCAAAAAAAAACAATCCCATGAGAAAATTCACAGTAGGTCCCACCCTATTCTTGCCTGACTTTTCAACATTAAACAACTAACCACACAAAAAATCATAGAGTGATTTAGTGAACTACCCATATTTGAAGCTTAAATTAGCAAAATACCATTGATTGGACATGAAGGACACTGACACAACCATTTGGCAAGGAAATGTCGAGAATGCTCTTTCTCTTTCCTCCCATTAACACGAAGCGTAAAAACATTTGTTAACATATAACACTTCTGTTAACGTCTACAATATTTGTTAACAGCCAACACATTTATTACCGCGAAGCGTAAAAATAATTATTAACAATTAACACTTTTGTTAACGTCTACAATATTTGTTAACAGCGAATACATTTATTAACGCGAAGCGTAAAAATAATTGTTAACACCTAACAGTTCTGTTTACGTCTACAATATTTGTTAACCGCTAACACGACGTCGAATCTAAAACCCAGAAAATTGATATCATCAAAAAATTGAGGATTCAAAGCCACTTATGAAAAAATAATGAAATTTAAAATTTAATTGTATATAGAATGATAGAGATTTGTAAAATAATTAAGGATTGGAGAGGAAAAAAAAGGTCAAAATTGAGGATTCAAAGCCACTTATGAAAAAATAATTAAATTTAAAATTTAATTGTATATAGAATGATAGATATTTGTAAAATAATTAGGGATTGAAGAGAGAAAAAAAAGAGGGGAGATGTCAAAGAAATGAGAGAGAATGTAGAAAAGACCAAAATGGTCCAGGAAAGTGATTGTCACATCATGGACAATTCTCTAATTATAGGTGTCAAATATGGCACTTTAGCCAATTATCTCAAAATCATATCTCTTGTTTCTTTCTTTCTCATTAATATTTCGGACTTTATTCTATATTGACCCACTCACTCCCATCTTCATTCTATTTTAACCCATCATAAATTTGTTTTTTTTTTCTTTCTCAAAATCAAAACGTGATTAAAAAATCAATAACCCTTAATGAATTAATATTATATGTAATATGAATTACTAGAAACTAGCTTGAATTACTAGAAACTACCTTGAATTACTAGAAACTACTATAAACAAAAAACAAACTACCTTGAATTACTAGAAACTACTACGAACAAAAAAAAAAGTGGGGCAGTGAGAAAAATGGTAGGATAGTAAAAATAGTTATTTTCTAACTCGGGTATATTAGAATACTTTCCTAATATTTCTTCTTACAATTCTCCATTGACATACAAAATCTCACGACGAGTCAAGGAACACGACCATAGACTTACCAAGTTTTGTAGCATTTTATTAAAAAACTAGGTGATTTTCCCGTGCTCATGCACGGGCATGTATATTTATAAAATAAATATACAATAATAACTGATTGATATTTACTTTAATTTTTAAATTAATTTATAGTTTGTATGTCTAATTTATATTATAATATTATATTACTTTAATTATATATATAATTTAAGATATGTTATATTTAGTCTGTTTTATTGTTTTTACGGTCGATTTAGTTATCATTTAGATATATTGGATTCTATCTATTTCTCTGAATTCAACTATTATCTTTTATATTTTAAAATATTAAATTTTGATTAATTGTCTTATTTGCATTTATGATGGTTGTTATCTTAAAAATATAAGTATATTTAGTAAGATTATATATAACTTAAGATTTTTTTTGTGCTTAGAAGGAAAAAAAAAGAAAAACTAAAGTTTCTGATTCTAAATTACATACATAAGTAACTAATGAATTTTTAGAAGATTTTGAACACATATCAATATTTACAATAGTTAAAATATTTTATAAATTCTAAATAAATTTATGCTTTAGATTGTTTGGATGGTAAACTGAAATTTATTTTAAATAATTTTAAAAATAAGGATTTTGATTTGCTTAAGTATTTGACTATGGTTATATTAAGTTTCACAAACATAAAAAACAAAAAAAATTAAAAACCAAAAGATTATTAAGAAAACAGATAATTATAACTATTAAAATATAACACATCTACCTCGTTAAATTATATAGTGTTATGGTATTTTAAAATAATTGTAGTTATTTTCTGTTATTATGTTTGTGAAACTTAATATAACCATAATCAAAATACTTAAGTAAATTAGAATCCTTATTCTTAGAACATATAATTTTAACTATTAAAATATAATATATCTACCTTGTAAATTATATAGTGTTATGATATTTTAAAATAATTGTAGTTACTTGATCAAAAGATGTTTATCATTAAATTTATTTTTAGTTTTATTTTTAGTATCTCTTAAAATAGTCAGTAAAAAGTGATTGTTTTTAAGAAATTATACTATATAAGTAAAATAGAATTTATATTTTTACTGTAATTGTAAGATATTATAGTCAAATAAATATACTAAAAAAATAATTTCAATAATACTAATTACAAAAAAATGTCAGTTAAACATATGTCAGTTTATGTTAGTTGATTATTTTATGTAATCATCTAACAAAATAGATAGATATATACAAAAATAACTATTTTGAAAATATATATATTTTATTGTTTAAAATTATTTTTTTAAGGAAAAAATATTTCTTTTTCTAATAGCAATATTTTTTGTGTGAAATCTCATTATAGACAGATATTGTTTTTTTTAATCTAATAAGATATAGATATAAAGTATTTTATTACTTCAAAGGTATATTTTATGTTCTTTAAATTAATTATTACTATTTTGTGAACTTTCCTTTTTTTATTAAACCACATTATATATACTTATATTTTCGTTTTTAAATAGTTTTGTAAATTTTATAAATGTTTCCTTTTTATTTTATATTGTTATTTGGAAATTTGTAAAAAAGAAATAATATTTAATTGTATTTTTGATTCATTAGGGGTATCATAGTAATCAACCAGCCTGAAAGTTAACGTGAGCACAACACCTAAGAGCATCATTATCGGGGTTGCTAACCCCGTTGCTTAGCTTAATTTTCATTAAAAAGAAAATGAAAAATAGAAAAAAAAGGAAGGCACGTTGCTTAATCTAGCTTCACAAGCGGCGTTGCTTGGAGACAGGTGTCGGCGTTCTCGGCATCTCTCTCTCTCTCTCTCCCTTTGGCCTTCTCTGTCTTGATTCCTGTTGGTAACTCGTCACCCCTCCACAGCTTCTCCGCGAGATCTGACAAAGCCAAAGGCCTGTTTTCTGAATCCATTCTTCTCAAAGAGGTTTTGCTTTCTCTCTCTCAGTTGGCTCATGAAAACGAAGAAGATAGTAATTGGTTACTTTGTTATCCTCTGTTTCTGGTTCAACCATCTGATGCTGAAAGTTTTGTGCTTTTTTTTTTATTGGGTTTTGCAGAAGAAGATCGATGAGGAAGGTGATCTTCTTCCTGAATTCGCTGATGATGAAGAAAGTAAGTACCTTTCTTTGTTTTTAAAACTATATGCCTCTTAGACTCTGTTACCTACATGATCTCTGATTGGAGTGAGAATTGAATCGATTTTGTGTTGTTGTGCTTTATAGAACTCTAGCTANTTTATTGGGTTTTGCAGAAGAAGATCGATGAGGAAGGTGATCTTCTTCCTGAATTCGCTGATGATGAAGAAAGTAAGTACCTTTCTTTGTTTTTAAAACTATATGCCTCTTAGACTCTGTTACCTACATGATCTCTGATTGGAGTGAGAATTGAATCGATTTTGTGTTGTTGTGCTTTATAGAACTCTAGCTAATGGTTTAAGAGTAACCTTTTCTTAACAAAGTTTTAAAATTGGGACTTTCTTGTCTCTCGTATTTTCTCTGGAATGTGGTTGTTGAAGTGAAACATAAAGAGTCATCTTTTCTATGAGTGTGTGTGAGATTGCAGATGCACTCGCTTAGAAGTCTTCTTAGTTGTATTTGTGTATAGCTTTGGTTTGTGGTGTTGATTGGTGGTATTGTTTTATCATTTGATGTTTCGTGGGAGTATGTTGATACTAGTACCACGCTTTTGTAAGAAAGTGAGAGTTCATCACTTGATTTCCACTTTTGATATTTGCCACATTGTCATCTTGTGTAACTTAAAGCCAACTCCTTGTATAGTCTCTACCAAGCTTGATGTCACTCATGTTGCTTGAACCGTTATTTGTCTTAAGTTGTAATGAATCTGAACTGCAAGCTTTTTGCTTTAGTATGTGGTGTCTGAGTGTTACTATAACTCCCTTGTTGATTTACTTTGCTTGATCTTATCTTAAGGTTTTGATCGGTGCTTGATTCTTTGTGAGAATGATAAGGTGTGATGCAAACTGCTGTTGTTCTTGAAGTTCTTCACGGAGCTATAGGTAACTCTTTGATGTTTGTGATTTGATTGGGATGATTGAGTTATGAATCGAAACTCTGATTTGTTAATTGATTGATTCTACTCAGTTTCAAATTTGATAAGGTGGTACTTATGTATATGGTTATAGGAGTTTGATGTGTTAATTTTCTTTCCCTCTTCTCGTGATGTATTTTAGGGACATGTTATGTCAAGGTATATGTTCAGAATGATGCTAAACAAGAAACTTGCAATGGAGGAGGAAAGTTATCAAGTTGCTTAGCTAAGTTGCTTACCAAAATAAACTCCTAAAATACCATTATTATATAATTAAGCAACCCATAATGATGCTCTAGGATAATGGTGCTCTAAGAAAGTGACTTCTCAAATAATATTATAGAGATATGCACAAACTATTCTAGTGACATTCATATGACCTCTCTTCATCTATCTTTCTCCCCTACCTCATATAAGCTTTTCTCATGGTTTCGTTCTTCATCGTCCTCTTTTCCTTCTTTTTCCTCAGCATCCATGTCTCTACCACCGATACGATCTCCGCTGACTCCACTCTCTCCGGAGACCAGACAATCTTCTCCTCCGGCGGAACTTTCAAAATGGGTTTCTTCCAACCAGGTAACTCTAAAAACTTCTACATAGGTATGTGGTACCAACAACTTCCTGTACAAACAGTCGTCTGGGTAGCTAACCGTGACAAACCAGTCTCCGACAAGAACACAGCAGTTCTCAAAATCTCCAACGGTAACTTAGTTCTACTCGAAGGAAACAACCAGACTCCGGTTTGGTCCACGGGTCTCAACTCTTCCTCTGCTGCTCTCGATGCGGTCTTGCAAGATGACGGTAATCTTGTTCTCAGAGACGACTCAGGCTCTGTTCTATGGCAAAGCTTCGATCACCTCGGTGACACGTGGCTTCCAGGAGCCAAAATCCGGTACGACAAACGAACCAAGAAAAGTCAACGACTCACGTCGTGGACGAGTCTTGAAGACCCATCACCAGGCTTGTTCTCTCTCGAGTTAGACGAGTCAACAGCTTACAAAATCCTCTGGAACGGGTCAACTCAGTACTGGTCAAGTGGTCCTTGGAACAATAAGAGCAAACTCTTCGATTCAGTTCCGGAGATGAGACTCAACTACATCTTCAAGTACAGCTTTTTCTCCAACGCAACAGAATCATACTTCACTTACTCGATGTATGACCCTAGGAACATCTCACGACTCGTCATGGACGTTTCGGGACAGGTTAAGCAGTTATCTTGGTTAAATAACAACGACCAGTGGAACTTGTTTTGGTCTCAGCCTCGACAACAATGTCAAGTCTACGCATACTGTGGCTCCTTTGGGATTTGCAATGAAAAATCTCAGCCTTTTTGCCAATGCCTTCATGGGTTTAGGCCCGACTCACAAAAAGATTGGGACTTGATGGATTACTCGGCAGGCTGTGTTGGAAAGACTGAGCTACAATGCTCTCGTGGAGTCATTAACCAGTTTATGCCTCTTACCAACGTGAAACTACCTGACAATTTTGAGGTATGGGGCATAACGAGTTTTAGTATTTGTGGATCGACTTGTCTAGGGAACTGTTCTTGTATGGCTTACGCACATGATGAAAGCTCGAATCGATGCTTGATGTGGACTAATGATGTCTTGAATCTTCACCAACTCGAAAAAGATAACAGTGAGGGGAATACACTTTATCTTAGACTCTCTGCTTCGGACATGCCTAATAGTTCTTCTTCCGGTAAGAGTAACAAAGCGATGATTTTGGCGCGGTTCTAGGTTCGTTAGGGGCGATAGCTCTTGTTCTGTTGGCGGTAATCATAATGTTAAGGTACTGTAAGAAAAAAAAATGAGAGGAGAGAAGAGTGAGGGAGCATTGTGATAAGCTACGTCAATGTTATATACGTAACAGGAAGGAGCAAAACAGAGGAGGTGTGACTAAGTGAACCAATTGGGAAAGCTGGGCTGAACTAGAGAAGCTTATTCATTGTTTTACTTTTTAATGTCATTCACTTAAATTAGTATAAGAAGAATGCTGTTGCATTCTGTTGGAATTAGCTTTTGAATTCCATGGTGATGTATTTCCTTTTTTTTTGCAAATTAGATCTAACGACAAGGTATCACCAAATTCATATGGAAACAAATGTTCCTACCACTTTTCATGTGCTGATGAATGAAATATTTCGTCTGTATCTTGGCAGTTATATCAACGTGTTTTCCTAATACGATATGCACATATCTCTGAGAAAATATGCTCTGATACCACATGTCAGAAAACAAAGATATCGTATAAAGGTTTTCTGCCTTATTATTTGGTCTTAGACTATGTATGTATTCAAGGGGTTATCTCCTAAAATAGATACACAAGATACATGCTGAGCTTAAAACCAAAAGATAATATTTTCTCAGAGATATGTATATATCGTAATACCCTCCCTTAAATTGGAGAGTGTAAGTTTCGAACTCCCAACTTGATGAGAAATGTTCAAAACTCTTTCTTCCCAAGTGCCTTTGTTAGTATGTCTCCAAGTTGCAGTTTCGTAGACAGATGCTTAGTTGTAATAAACCCTCTCACAATCTCATCTCGTATGAAATGATAGGTTACTCCAACATGTATATCGGGTTAGCTGCCATGTGAATAGCTGAGATGTTATCGCAATGCACTGGAATGGGTGCATCAAAATGAACTCCAAACATTTGAAGAAGATTCCTTAATCAAATAAGTTCTTGAACCGTATCAGACATGGCTTTATATTCTGCTTCCGTCGATGACCTAGAGACAGTATCATGTTTTAATGTTCTCCATGAAACTGGGGAGTTACCCAACTGAATGAACCAAGCTGTTAATGAACACTGAGTAATAGGACATGCTCTCCAGTCTGCATCACACCATGCAATAAGAGTAAGCGGTTGACCTGATTTGAGTAATATGCCTTGACCTGGATTCCACTTAAGATACCGTACCACTCGTATGGCAGTGTCCAAGTGATCCTGTTTCGGAGCTTGCATGAACTGAGACAGCACATGAATCGCATATGATAATTCAGGTTGCGTCACTCTCAAGTATATATCAGTCGACCTACAGGCCGTCTATTCCTTTTAGGGTCAGAGATCATTGCACCAGTTGCCCTCGCAACCTGATGGTTCTGATCTAATGGAAAGGACGCCGACTTGGCTCCAAGTAGACCTGCCTCAGTAATGATGTCGAGAGCAAATTTCCTCTGACATAAGTATATTCCAGATGAATTTCTTGCAACTTCAATCCCTAAGAAATAATTAAGAAGTCCAAGATCCTTCATCTTAAAGCATTTACTCAAATATCTTTTGAATGTCGAGATTAAGCCAGGTGAGCTTCCTGTTATAATCAGATCATCTACGTAAATCAGTACATGAATCTGAATCCCATTCTGATCATACACAAACAGCGAGTAGCTGGTATCGATTGAATAAAACCATAATCTGTTAATGCTCTAGTCAATTTAGAGAACAAACATCTCGGTATAAGCACTTGTGTAAGCATCACACTTTATTCTTGTTTTCTACTTGAAATCAAGGAGGGAGTGTCATGTAAACTCCCTCTTCCAAATCACCGTGTAGAAATGCATTATGCACATCCATCTCGTGAACTTCCCAGTCCGAGCCACAACTATCTTAAAAAAGCATTGTATAGTTGTCATCTTTGCAACCGGTGCAAAAGTTTCAGTAAACTCCTCACCTTCCACTTGGTGATTTTCAAACACAACAAGTCGTGCTTTGTAGTGTTCTATAGACCCATCTGCTTGGTATTTGATGCAGTAAACCCAACGTCATCCGAGAGCCTTTTTCCCCTGGAGGTGAGTCTACCACAGTCCACGCACCACTGTCTTCAAGTGCGAAAATTTCATGCTTCATAGCACCTCTGAAATAAGGATCTCCCGCTGCCTGCGAAGAGTGTCGTGTAACATCATGTTTGGTAATCGCTGGAAGAAAACACCGGTGATCTGGGAAAATCGATCACATGAAACAAAGTCTTCTATTGGATAACATGAAGTTTCATGTACCGTATTTGCTACAAAATCCTTAAGTCTAGTGGACCTTACTTTGGGTCTATGTCCACGTCCAAGATGTTCTACTGTAGCCTGAGGCTCCTTTACTTTGGGTCGTTTATACATCTCAAAGAGTGTTTTCCCTTTCAAAACCTCTGATGGAGTGCAATTAATTAGATATCCAGCAGCCAGATTACATTCTCCCCAAAATTCTATCAGTAAAGAAGATTGAAATCGCAAAGAACGAGCCACGTTCAGTATATGTTGGCGTTTCCTCTCAACACGGCCATTCTGTTGAGGAGTCCCAACACATGAAGTCCCATGTATCACTCCTTCTCTCTGAAGAAATCAGTGAGACACATAAATTCACTGCCATTTTCAGATCAGAATGTAATACTCGTATCAAACTGTCTTTCAATGACCGAGAAAAACTGTTGAATTTTAAAAGGTGCTTGTTGCTTGCTCGGTAACAGATATAGCCACAAGCGACGAGAGTAGCATCGAGTATGGTTAAGAAGTATTGTGCACCACACAAAGCTGGTGTTCTATAGGGTCTCCATAATTCAAAATGAGTCAATTCAAAAGCAGCAGTAGTCTTATTCACACTGATCGGAAAAACATCTCGAGAATGCTTAGCGCGGATACAAAATTCACACACTTTATTGTTTAAAACACCAGAAATAGTAAAACCGGAAACGGGCAGCTTGTCTAGAACTTTAAGAGATGGATGTCCTAGTCTCCTATGCTATACTTCTGGTGATAAGCGATCCATACAGCCAGCCATCAAAGCCCCAGCCTCATTCATGCTCCTAAAGAAGTACAGTCCTCTAAGATGCTCAACCACACCAATCAGGGTCTTCGTGATGCGGTCCTGGATAGTACAAAGCTTATCAGACATCTGGATAATGTAGTAACTATCTCGAGTCAATTTTGAAACCGATATCAAGTAACAATCTAAACCCTCAACCAAGAAAACATCCTGCAACTCAATCTGTGTTCCCATCGAAAAAACACCTTTATGATTGGCCACTGTAAATCGACCATCAGGATGCTTAACTCTTATAGGTTCCATATACTGTATGTCTGTAATGTATTCTCGAGACCCAGTCATATGGTTTTGTAGCACCGCTATCAAGTATCCAAGTTTCAAAGAAGGACTTACCAGAGAGACAATTTGGTGGTGGTTGTATCCTCTCTTCCAGCATCGAGACCAGAGTCTTCTATTGAGTCTCATTCAACCCGCTAAATCCCACTCGGTCTGCGTCTGTAATTGCAAAAGAGGTCGATCCTTGGGTTCCTAATGCATTAGTTTGAGCCATCTCCTTCCCTTTGTTCTTCATTGGTGGTAAAGAACTTCCTTTATTTCCTTTAGTATGAGGATGATATCCCCACCATGGAGGGTAACCTATCGGTCAGAAACAATTGTTTGAACCATGACCCGCACGACCACAATTGCGACAAACCATACTTCTATCACGTTCCTTGTAATATAAAGGATGTTAAACCAGTTCTAAGTGATTCTAAATCAAAGGGAATACAAGACCATGCTTAATCTAAGTGTTATCAATTGCTCAGATGATTTTTACTAAGAAACTACTAATAAAGCAATAAAGATCAAAGCTTTCTTTCTAAATGAGATGGAGAACTCATGGGTCAAGGGAACTGATCTTGGGTTATCAATATTCAATCTAAAGGTGGAATCTTTTCAATCAATCTATCAATCCTAGGCATAAACACAATCCTAAACAAACTCTATCTCTAGATGAGTATTCATTTGCAAAGATAACTCAAGCATCTAATCTCTTAAGTTGAATACTATCTAAGCAATCATTAAAATCCAGTCTACTAGCCATCCTAACACATTTAACAACAAATATCTTTGGTAAATGATGTTAAAAGCATTAGAGTTGGTTCAGGCATTTCATCATACATCTTCCGGGCATGAAATACCTAAAGCTCTATTCTAGAGAGGTCAGCTCTAAAATATCATTGAGATCACTCTACAAGCAAGGAACAAGATGAATCTATGCTTAAACACCTTTGGTCTAGATTAATCACTCTTTGATCTCCCTAATCCATGAATCCAAAGTTGACCTACTCACTAATCTTCATGATTAAGCTTAAACCATGATAGATTCAAGACTAATCATGTTAATAAGATGAAGTAGATTCAAATTACTCAAGAAAGAAAGATTAAACTACTAAAATATTCAAGCTCTCTCCCAAAAGAAGTTGTAGTTTAGAGAGAATACAAGATAGATCTAAAAAATAGGTCTAAACACTATTTATAGGCTAGTTAGGTCGAACCGGGTCAACCCGACAAATCCGGGTCGACCTAGACAAGTTTTCGGCGGATAGGCCGGCTGGCGGGCAGGGCTGGCCGCTGGGAACTGGGCGGGCCAGACTGGCCGCTGGGCCTGGACGCCAGGGCTACGCAAGGTTGGACGATGGAGCTTGTGGTCGTTGGGCGGTCAGATCTGGCTGCTGGCTTGCTCAAGTACTGATATATGTCCAGTAAATTAGCCATAACTCTTAGCATACAACTCTAATTGACCTGAGACCACTTCCATTGAAAAGCTTACTCAATTTCCTATCTCTTCCCAGAATATTAGCAACAGAAGACACCTTTAAGGCCTCTATCCATGTTCATCTTTCAATCCCATTTGGATAACAATGCTCCCAAATATCTCCAATCACTCCTTCGCACACTCCAACACCTAAGGAAGACATATGAATGCAATATGGACCTGACGATATCTAAAACCTAATCTATATGATAATTTATGTACAAAATGAAATGCCAAAAAAAATGCAAATATGCAAGATATCATTCCTCTGGAGCTCCTCTGTTTCTGAACTGTGATTGCACTGCGTAACTAACCCCTCCAGTTGGTTCAGAATAAGCATGAGACATCATCCTTGAGTCTTCCTCTTGTGTTAACGCATTTTAAACTTCATCAAGAGTTAGGAATGGTACTCGTTAAAGCAGAGGAGATCTCGTAGGTATATAGACTTCATCAACTCTATGGAGAAACTCATGGACCCGATCCTCATCACGTTCTTTCTCAAGTCTACGCTGAGTTCACATGTGCAGGAACCACACTTGCATCGCTTCAAGGGAAAAA